ATCGATTGCTACCGCCTGCCAATTTCTACTACCAAAGCTTTATCAAAAGCCTCTTTCCATGAGTTCTTTGACCTTTCACGCGATCTCTTGCCATCTACAACGTCGCAATTGAGAACTTTATTTAATGGACCTTCCACAGATCTTCTCATAACATGTACAGCCCATTAAAGTCTGACTCTAGCAAGGTGCTTGATTTAAAACAAAGCCAGTACCACACCAGAGCCATGCCCGCTTGTCACTGGATGTTCATTGATTAACCGACTTGTGATATTCGGAAAAACCCCAAAATAATTAAATTCCAAATTCCCAGAAATTTAAACCAATCAATTTAACAACAAAACAAAAACTACCTCAAAAAACATTTAAATTGACTGACATCCAACAAAACCCTTTCAATTAAATTCGATCAGTTCACAAGATTCATAAATTATTCCCGTTGTCGTGCTCATTAAATTTTTATGCATGCTCTCGTCTCGATTCTAAACCATCGACGCTGACTGCATGGATTTTGTGGATTGTTTATTCTCTCATAGATTTCAGTTTTAATTTTATTATTTCCTGCAAATAAAATGCATTTAGAGCTACAAAAAAAGGAAGGAATTGATTACATTTGCTTTAGAATGACTCGCTCGTGTTGATATAGTTTGATGCAAACAGATTTGTAAGTTAATCTGATTATTGCCTTGGGAGTGTTTCAATGTAGAACTTCATGATCGATTACAATTTGATTGTTTTGTTGTATTTGAGTACTTTTTTACAATGCAAATATTGAATGAACAAATATGGAAGTTGAAAAGGTATTAAAAGTGAAAGATTTATTGTGCTTTTTAGATGTAATTGACAGTGTTAATCCACGGATATGAATAATACATGAAGAAATCATGTGGAATGATAGTAGAAAATGCAACTCATTATCGTGTGTTTCTAAATGGCTCGGAATTGACAAATATTGGAATTTTCCAGTGTCTGTCGGTACTCACAGGTGTTTTTAAGTGTGATAATAGCTATTTACTGACTCAAGCTTGTTAATGTGAGCAAATGCCGGTAGATTATTATTTATTGCTGTGCGTATAGCAACACGGTTTGGATAGGTTGTTTTTGGATGAGGAAAGTTCAAGTAGGGGTTCCAGAATTCCCGTTCCCGTAAGATTTCGGGAATCGGGAACGGGAACGGGAATGATGTCCGGGAACGGGAATATTCCCGGGAATCAACAAAGAAAAAAAAAAGTTAAAAGCTACACTTACACCATGTATTTTATTTAGGTTTTTAAATCAAATTTAAATTCTATTTGATTTGATTGTCAAATTGATTCTTTTGACAATAATTTCCGTTTAAAATTCAATTCTTTTTGGTTTTAGAACAATTCTTAAAGTACGATTTTTAAAAACTGATTGCATTAACGTGCTGGTCCACGAATCTACGAATATGTACATGATAAAATTACAGCTTATGAACTGATTTTTTGATTACTTACATAGCTAATATTAATTTCAAGCACGTTTTTTTATTTTGGAAAATTTACTTTAATCCAATGTCAATTAAGTTTATTATTTTGTGGACATCATACATTCAAAAAAATATTTTTAAATACTTTTTCTCTTCGTTTTTCATAAATATATGTTTTTGATTTAAAATACATCAAATTTGAGTTTAATATTTCAACTCTTAAATTCCTTAACGTATGTTTTCATTATTATAATTTTTTTCTTTAAATTGTAGTTTTTTCATGAAACATACAAAATAAAAAAAAAATCTAATTTGAATTGTCGGTTTTTTTGGTATGAAAACGGGAATTTCGGGAATATTCCCGACAGATTTTCGGGAAACGGGAACGGGAACGGGATTCCCGTTCCCGGGAATTCCCGGGAATATTCCCGATTTTGGAACCCCTAAGTTCAAGTGGTTGGCATGCAACCTTGTTTGACAAGCAAAGTACAAAAAGCAACAAAAATGTTAAAGTAAACCCTGGTTCGGAAAAAAGGTGGCATTTTGAAGGCGTTATTTAGAGGTATTTTATATAAAGAGGCGGTATTTGGGGGTATTTGGGGGTATTTGTGTAGAAGTTTGCGGTCTTGTTTCCAAGCCTGGAAGAAAACCGTTACCATCCTGATGAAGTAGCTCCACATCAACCAGCATGGTGACTGTTTTATCGGACTTTATTTGTGCCGTGTGCTTTTCAGGGTAGCTACTCTAGCTATCATTCAGGGGAGTAGCCAGGAATTTTAAGAGGGGAAGACAAATTATTTTGTAAAGCAAAATGAAAAAAAATCTGTTGACGAAAGGCCCCCAAATCCCATAGCTTCACGCCTGCCTCCATTTTTCAATTTAAAAACCAAAACCTTTATGAACCTCAAACTCTATTACAATGTCAAAACTTACTAAACCTCAATTTTAACAACAAATCCTTATGTCTCTACAAATTATTACTGTCTTCTGCCATAAAGTAAATGTTGCAAGCAATAAGACACTTAACTTTGATATTTATTGATGGATTTTTATGGGAACTTGTGCAACATAATTTTTTTCTGTTTAGTTGACAGCATAAACTCTATTTAATAGTAACGCCTTGAAGCTTCTTAAAGGGAGTAATGAAATTTCTTCATAACTTTTATGGTGAATAAAAGAAGGATTCTTTATTGAAGAATTTTATTTGAATCAGTGAGATTGTTGTGATATTATTGTGAATTTATAGTTTATCCGTGGTTTTATTATGTGGATAAGATGTGGAAGATCCATCGACGGATTCGAAAAGGGTTAAGTTGGTGACTTTGAGGCATTATAAAATATGATGAAAAAGTGTTTTTAATTTTAAATCAAAACTTTTGACTTTCAGATCAAAATTTCAATTTTTTTCCATACAAAATCAATGAAAATCTCGAGTCGATTTCAAGCTCTGACTTTATTGAGGGAACCCTAATTTTTCTCATGCGTTTTTAATTTTTACAACTAGGTTTTTTTATAAACCAAACAAATTTTAATCTTGAAGGGCTTGTGGAGACCCTTAAATCCCTTGATACCTAGCCATATCAACCCTACAGCATCAAACTCAAACTTCACATCATTCCCAAAAAAACATAAATTTTCCCTCCACTTGTTGCTACTTGTTAAAAAAATTGAGAATATGACAATAAAAATAAAATTCTTGTTATTACATTCTCAGAGTAAAAATAAACACACATACACAATCAGATAGTGAAACAAAATTGTATGAAAATAAAATAAAATAAAAATTATGCCAGAATGTTTACTTTTTTTTCTTCGCTAGTATTATCGCTGATATGAAATTCAAATATTATCAGAACTGTTCATATGATGAGAGTTGGGCTTTTTCCTTAGCGATTCTTATTTTTATGTCGAGAGAAAAATAAATGCTGATTATTTTTTTTTGGTGATTTTAATGATGTTGTTATGAGGACTAAGACAGAGAATGATTATAGAAATGATGTAAAAAAATAGCAGAGGATGTTTATGAATTTTTTAAGAGAGTGAGTGACAGGGTTTTGATAATGATTTATTGGAATGTGATGATCTATTTTATTATGAGTATAAAACCGGCATTTTTAAGTCGAATGCTGCACTTTTGATTCAAGTTTAATTTATTAAAATTTCAAAAAATACTTCAAGTGATGTTTTTCACGTGTTTCAATGCTCAATTGAGAGGGTTACCAGATTTTAATCAGAAAAATAGAGAACATCCCTCATGTCGACTGATTTTATTTGCTTTCTGGACAAAGTAAAACTCAACAGAACTTTTTTAATTTTTGAGAATTTCAGAATTTTATTTTGACTGTAAAAAAAATTTTTTTTCTGAAAACCTAAGCTGATGGTCAGCCTATCAATAGGATCGTTCGTAAATAACATCAACTTTTAATAATTATAGTTTTATTTTGCCAAACGTATAGAAAAACTTTTCCATTTTAATAATTTTTAACCCCCCCCCCCCCCCCTCAACTTTGAAGAACACTTCAAACGAATGAGCCCCAAGCCCTATATTTATTCCTCTATTTTACATTCAAGACATAAACAGAAAAGCTGTAATAAAAACACATCGTGGCTTGTCAGCTTGCTTTTGTTTGAAATTTGCATTGTAAATTTTCTTCTCTTCTTTGCTTTTTAAGTTTTAATTGTTTACCATAAAAATTTTAGTTTTGTCCAGACATGACAAGTTTTAGTTGGCTTCTCAAAATCAATAAAACTTAGCTGAGATTTGAAGAAAGATGTGAAATATTACCTCAAATAAATTAAACCGGTTAATCGTGAATGAATGAAAGAACTTCAAGGTTTGTGTTATTTAATAAGCAAGGGCTTGTTTCAAATAGAGAAGTTTTATTTAATATTTTACTGCTATTAGGTATAAAAGCTATTTTTACCACGTTTTTTCTCATTTATCACGCTTTGAAGAGCGTAAATAATTTTTAATAAAATGTAAATGAATTTTTTGATGAACTTTAATGCAGTTTTAGGAAAATAATTGCTTTTGAAGAGGGGGGGGGGGCATTGTCTCTAGTATTGTCTTTGGTAAGTTCATAAAGAGGCTGCCCATGGGTTGTTGCTTAATTTTGATCAAAAAGCGGGACATGTCTTGAATTCAGCTCTGAAAATGCGAAGCAGATCAGAATTTCAAGCATTTTCCAAGAGAAAAAAGTTCAAAAAAGCCTTGCATTAAGGATTTTGGCGGGACTTTGTCCTGCTCAAAAGTTGGTAGTTGGACAGCCTTTTCATGAGTCCTCTAATATCCCAAACAATTCTAATCTTGTCACAATTTACAAAATACAGCGCTGCTTAAAAAGTTTGTGCATCAATGAAAATTACAATCTTAATGAAGCTATTAAGTTTATAAAGATTACTCAAAATAATTTCTTACAGCACACAAACACTAATTAAAAGCTAGAGAAAAGAAATAATTTCATTCATTGAGAATTGCACAAACTCACATCATCACACAAACTGCAGTACATACTTAAATCATCTCAAAGACACAACTGAACTTAATTCTCACCCCAATTTTTAGGCGTCCGTCCAAAGACCTTCCCCTGCTCTCGATCATATAATAGCTGTCCAAAACTCTTCTGTTCTGGCTTCTTCATATATGGAAACTCATAAGTTGTGGTCACTAAATCACTTCCACGCGACTTTTGGCGTTTGAATGTTTTCAACGGCACCGCCTCACCGGTTTGATCTTGTTGACCCGCTGGCATGTTTAATTGTGTATATCACTACTTAATTTATCAATCAAGAGAAGTATTTAATTATCGCGTGTGCCTGTACACCGTAAATCACACAACTAGGCACAAACTGTATTTTTTTTCTATTATTTTATCTTTGATAAAAGTAAAGTGGAATAAGATGAAGAAATTTTATTTATTTCACTTATACACATTTAATTTCTTCACTGACTCATGTGTCTCATTTAATTTTATATGAGATGTGAAAACCGAAAATTGTTCGATGAACTTTTGAAGATAAAATAAAAAAATTAAGTCGAGTGTATTTTGGGTTTTAATTATAGCTGCTGATTTTCTTTTCTTTTTCGTTGACTTCTTAATTCTTTTGTCTTCGGAGTAAATAAGAGCACAACTAGTAGAATTAGATTATTGAGAATATCACAATATTTAATAATGTTAAGCACTAATTCGATTAGATTTCATCACTGGAATGAGAATAAAAAATTGTTTTTATGAGATTTGAGTTTTTGGTTTTATGACTTTATTGTTTTGTGATTTTTAGAGCTATAAAATTTGATTTTTTGTGGAATATTCAATACAATATTAAGAACCTGAATGGTTTGTAGCCGGACTTCTTGATATAATAGATTCAAAATTAAGGAACCGGTGCAATTGTAAAGAATCATTTTAAAATAAATCTTCCAAATTTCCTTGGTGAGTTTAAGTATAAAAAATCTATTCTTTCCTGCTTATTAAGTTCCTTTCACAAATGACTCTCTAACCATATTTTACAAGCATCAATTCACACCTAAGATTCTGTCTAAATCAAATTAAATTGCATCATCGCTTCCAAACTACATCACAATCTAAACTATGTTCAAGCACTCCACTTGATCCCACATAATTCACTAGAAATTGCTCAACTGTATTATTATTTGACATTCAATGTATTTACATTTGCATTATTTTGGCAAACTCAATTAAGGTTGATTAAGGGGATTTCTCGTTATTGGAGATGAATGTTTCATTCAGTTAGCGGCTGGAAGGAATTTGGAGTCAAATATATTCGTAGAATATTGAAATTAAGCTTTATTGGAGGAAATGATTATTAAATTCTTTAAATTTAAGTTAGAGTTGGTGTTAAGTTTGCAAGGCGCATACACTCTGGGTCAATATTAAAAAAATTGCAGCACTTCCAGTCATCAAACTTTAAATCCCTCTTTTAGTTGATGAATATAAAAAATTTGATGAATTTTGAGTTGGATTCAAAATTTGATAACTTGAAGTGCTGGGATTTTTTGAATTTTTGGAGGGTATATGCCTTGAAAATTTGTGAAATTTATTAAATTCGTGACGAACAGGCGTGTGTGGGACTTAATAAAGCAGTTAAGGTACATCTAAATGCATTTGTCACGAGCATCACGAATTAATAGTGCCAAAATTCAATCCGAATAGCACAACTCGGTTATTTGAATAGAAATCCAACGCCAAGCCGGTGCAAGCTTCAATTTAAATCCAGCATCATGCAAGAGTCTTACTGCTTATTGATGGATTTCTGATCATTTAACTGACTTGTGTCATTCGGGTAATGTTTTATTAAAAAACACATAACTGAACTAAACCGACAGTTTAAGACGAGATGCAAACTTCATCTTATTTTAGAGTCAATTCATATTTAAAAACCTATTTTATTATAATGTCTGATGAAGTAGGTTCTGTGGCACTATGCAACCTATCAACCACAGTTTGAATATTGTTTAAATCCTAAAACTCTACATCTTGTTCTTTTATTACAACCTATTTTAATATATTTTGTTATGACGTGACACTAGAATAAGGGATCATATGGAAACAAATTTCGATCAACTTTACAGTTTTCTTTCAGGTTGCCTTCAAAATAATCCAAAAAAACATTCCTTCTATCCTTTAATAACTCATTGCATTCAAAGTTTTTTATTGCACTCTCAAAAAATATTTAAACCCCCTCAAAATAATCAACAATATGTCTCAAAAATCCACAAAACTTTCTCATCACAAAAACAAAACAAAAGTTACTCAAAAAAATAAATAAAATTAAAAATAGCCATCACTAACACCTTAAATTCTTAATTAATTAAGTAAACAAGCAGTTAAAAAATCTCTCCGAACCGTCATCTGTAAGACATTCGACTGTCTATTGCACCGTATAACTACAAACTGACTGAACTTCAAAAATGTGCCTGTTGCCTTTTTGAGTGATTAACGAAAAAAAAAACACATGATAGAAAAACAATAGACTCTGTTGGGAGAGAGAGAGTGAACAGCCGGAGTGGAGAGAAAATAGAAACAAATACAAAAGTATAGACACAACTCAGCACGTTACGACGATGCAACAAGTTTATGGCTTATTTGAAAAACTAATCAGCTGACTAATTTCGATAAAAGAAAGTCGTAAAATTTTTTTATTATGGTTTTTGTGACTCGTACGAAAGGGACTGAGTGTGAAACTTTTTTTCTTGAGGCCTTTTTGAATGTGTTGGTGTAAAATTTGTCATTGTGTGCGTTCTCATTATCTCAAAAAAAATATTGTTCTTCTTTTTATTAGTTTATAGTCTCCCTGGGTAAACACATGGGCACAATATGAGCGAGATGTGATAATATACGAATTTTTATTTCTTACAACCACATGGGCTCAAAAATTCTCATTAAGACATTTTGTCACTTGGCTTTTATCAATCATTTTATTGATGATTACAGTCACATTGATGAACGTCAATTTTGGAAGAAGTTTTTTTTTCTGTGCGATAATTTTGCGAATAATGTGAATGACACATGATCAGCATGGGGAAGGAAACTTATGTTGAGAGAAAAACTTTTTGCTGGTATTTGAGAAGTTGGGAAACTTTAGGTCTTATTGGAATCGAATAAGATTTTGAGATGGAAGCTACAAATGTTCTTTTTAATTCTGGAAAAATCTTGAAAGCAATCTGACAAAGATTTTAAGAGATAATTTTTGGTATGTTTTGATTATCTAAAAGTTTGAATTCCATTACATCAGGGGCACCTCATCTAGTTTTGGGTAACATTTATTTATGGCACAAAGTGGAGCTTATCAAATTTCGATACTTTTGTAAGGTTCTTTGGACAGTTCTTGAAACCAGCCCCCGACGATGGCATCTAAAAGTAAACAATTTTTATTTTCTCGGATGACAATGAGATCTTAACTTCCATATTCCTCTCCAGCCTATAGGCTAGTCGAAATATTATTTTCTTCTCCAAAATCTAGGCTAGTCTAAATAAATCTGGGTTCTAGGTAGGGTTACCATCTAATTTTCATGAAAATACAGGACTTTTGGTAAATTTTTTCGAAAAATACAGGACATAGAGTAAAATTCGAAAATTAACGGAAATTTTCGTGAAAAAAATACAGGACCTAGAACAAAGTTTTCAAATTTATACAGGACAGGGTTTTGAAATACAGGACTGTCCGTTGTAAAACTACGCAGATGGTCACCCTAGTTCTAGGTTTACTTTTGTGATTCAGAAGTGCGCTAGGGCATTTCGCAGATAATGAGTGTTAAACGGATGAGAATTCGCCAGACTATTGTACGTAAACGTATTCCTATAATTTGCAATAGGATCCGAACCACTCCATTGGTGTCATTACTGCCTGTAGGCTACAAAAGAAGGCTATGAGCTTCATTTCAAGTGCATATGATTCGAAAAAGGACAAGTGAAAAATTTCTTATACCCAGTCTCGAACCCATGATCGCTGTGTTGGTATTGTAATAATTATGTCCCGAAATACTTAACCATTCCGCCACCGAGCTCCTTTAGTTCAGATGCTGGAAGTTTGGCTACGACATAAACAAAAGCAAAGATTTTGAAGCCAGATTTTTATAAAAACTCAGCATTTTCTATTGAATCCTTCATTTAATTTAAACCAGTCGAAAAAAGTAACCCACCAAGTTCCATCGCCTGCAACAAACTAATCGGTTCTCTTTCTTTGATGACAGCCAACAATTGTAATCCATAATTCATCATGTTTCTACATCATGTGTTTCCGATAATGCCTTTTTAAAGACATTTGATAATTATTGCCTTGCGTTATCAGTTGAACTCAATCAATCAATAGCTTTGATGTGAAATTAATAACAATGATTTTAATTAATTAGACACTTTTTTCTGGTGAATTTATACAATCAAGGATTTTAGAGACTTTTGGGATTCAAGTCTGGTGCGAAAATTGCTCGTGATTGCTTTGTGATTATTTAATGTTGTGGCATTCACAGTGATTTGGCAATAAATGCTCAAAATACTGATAAAAATAATAAATTCTAATAAATTTTAAATTGCAAAGCCAGAGGCTAATTATTCAGCACCATGAGAACAAAATCTATAATTATTAATAAATAACACACTCATAAATTAATTAATTCATTACTAAACGCTTTAATTGCATGATTTAGTACAAAGTGCAACTTAATAAATCATTAATAAAGTCATTAAACACAGATTATTACCTTGAAAATATTTTTTTATCTTTTCGTTCCACAATGCATTTTATTCATAATAGAAAATGTGCTTTTATGGAACTGAGCATGGCGTAACTGCTTCGATTTTCGTGTTTGTGAAGGTGAAGCTGCTGTTAAGTTGTTGTTTTATGACAGCTTGTGGTTGAATTTATTGTATTGAGATATGAAACTAGAGAATAGCGTGTTGGAACTGGATTTAATTGGAATTTATTGATGAATTTGAATCACTTATTATAATTTTTTAAAAAAATATTAAATGTCTGAAATTTTACCTCACAGCCTCATCCAACAATAAAACTGATCACACAGAATTTAATCCAGCACATGCTGTAAAACATTCTGTAAAATTCCACAATAAACAATTTCTATACATCCAACCAACACACGCTCTAGCAATAATACAGAAATCTACGCATAAAAATGCACATGTTCATTTTATTCCTACAACATTCATGTTGTCTACATCTTGTTCATTCTCGAACGCTCAACAATTTCCTACAAATTACATGCTCAACTTTATTTTTCTTATTCTATCTCTTGTTATACTGCTTTAGATTGTAATGTTAAGCAATTGGAAATTATTAAAGTAATTTTTAGCGCATTTTTGTATACTTGTATACAAAAAAGGGAGCTTAATAATGCGAAATGTTC